CCCCTTCCACCCCCTCCGCCCTGGTCAGAATCCGCAGAATCACCGACCCAGCACACCCAGCATTCGGGCAACTCGGACTATTCGCCGCAAAGACCCTCCCCGCACGCTCATTTATCCTAGACTACCTGGGATATGTGCATGACGACAATGACCTCGACGAGTCATCGGATTACGACCTCTGTCTGGACCGGGAGTTACGTGTTGGTGTGGATGCGCGCAGCATGGGAAACGAGGGGAGGATGGTTAATGATTATAGGGGAGTTCCGGGATTTGTGAGAGCTAATGTTGTTTTCGAGACAAGGAGTGTTGGGGGGGAGACTAGGATGGGGCTATGGGTTGCAAGTAGAGATGTAAAGAAGGGAGTTGAGTTGTGTGTTAGCTATGGGAAGGGGTTTTGGAAGGAACGGTCGGGAGCAGGGGAGGATTTAAGCTTAAATTCGATAAGATGTTAGTGCCAATTGTGCTAACGGATCCGAGTATCAAGTCAGGCTACCAGTATGGTAAGGTGGGATGATATTCATCACGTACGAAATACTTACCGTCAGGCTCACCAAAACACCACACAAGAGTAATCATAAAAATAAAATAGAAAAGCTTGACCGAATATCACTACCACCAGGATAAACATATTTCTGAAAAAGAAGATTTACCCAGTGCAATCCTATAGTTACCCGGCACTCCCCGTTCCAACTGTGATCCATCCGCCTCTTTGCATCCCAAAAACCCCAAACATCCCCAAAAACCCCTCAAAGCCAAGAAACCGCCCCTTTTCAAACCATCAACCCTAAAACCGACCAACCAAACAACCGAAAATGACAACCTTCGCCACCGACCTCTGGAACTCCATCTTCACCCCGGGCACCAACTCCTCCCTCGTGCTCGCGACGCACGCCTCCTTCTTCGCACTGCAGTTAACCTTCCTCGCCCTCCTGGCTGGCACGCACAGCTACCACTTCATCATCCTGAGCTTCATCTGCGCGGGTCTGTGGATGGGGATAACATGGTTTATGCGGGAGATTGACCTTCTCAAGAGGGAGCAGGAGGAGGTTAAGGAGAGGTTGGGACTGGAAAGGGCGAGGAAGACGAAGGTGAAAGGAGGGGAGTAAATTGGGGTGGGGGTTCTGTTTGTTTGTTTGTTTGGGGATGGGCGAACGGGTAGATTGATCGACGGATGGATGGATGAATAATGTTTGTCCATTTGCGGTGTCGAGTTTTATGGGGATAATATCGGGTGAATTTTAAAAGTTATGGGGAATCTCGTTTCTTCTGGTCTGTTGGATGGGTGGTTGGTGTTGGATTCGTCTGTCATATTTTTCTTTGTTTTTCTTTCTTGCTTTCCTATCCCTTCACATTTTGAATTTTAAGCGTCCTGTCAACGCTAAAGCAACATGGCGCAGCGGAAGCGCGCCGGGCTCATAACCCGGAGGTCGCACGATCGAAACGTGCTGTTGCTAAGTCATCTCTTTTTTTGCTTTCGGTGCGGCTGGGTGAGTGTTCGAGTCGTTGTGTTGGGCGAGTTTTTCTCATTTATTTATTTATTATCTCCCTGTGAGTGGGTTTGAGAGGGAACAAACTATTTGTTCTGGATTGGGTGGGTGAGTCATGGTTTGTGGTTCGGTTCCTTCGCGGTTGGGAGGGCGGGCTGCGGCGTATCCCACCAACGGCACCGTACAGTGCGGCCCAATATTCCTAGTGTCACAAAAGCGGGAATTGGCGTTCGGTCAATGACAATACCAGTAATACGGTCAAGTACATGATTCGGATAGGATAGTGATCATCCTTGATTATCGTCGCAATGCACTCTTATCATACTGCATATTACACCAGAGAAAATTACTAAGATAGAAACCCTATACTACCAAACTGCCGTGGACCAATCCTCACCCCTCACTTCCACCACAGGTTCCCAGCCTTGATCAAATCCGCCGCCTGTGGTAACCACGTTAGCCTCTCAGCGCATGCCACTCCAGCTTACATACGCCAAAAACTCACCTTCTCTGCGACGGCATAAACCGTAGAGTGCACATGGGCTGCTGGGATCAACGGCTGCACACTAGCATCCACAACCCTCAGATTCCGTACCCCATAAACCCTCAAGTCCTTGTCCACCACCCCACCCAGCTCCCTCTTCATCATGGCACATGTACCCGTCATATGATACATCTGATTTGACAAATCCCTGACCGCCTTTTCAATCTGCTCATCTGTACTCGCTCCCGCTCCCGGTGTTACCTCCATGATTCCCAGCTCTCGCATTTCGCTCGTTGCGATGATCTTGCGGGTGTACTTTAGCGTTTCTACGTAGATTCTGGGGTCGAAGGGGTGGGTGAGGTGTCCAGTGTCTACAGCTGGTATGCCGGCGAGGAGGGAGGAAGAGGTTGTTGCGACGGTGCCGCGACTTAGGGGGTGCATGGCCGAGAAGATCATGGCACCTTCATTGAGCCACAATACCTCCGTTGCGGCCATGTTGGGGGTGGTTAGGCGGCGACTGAGGATTTTGAGCTGGGCTTGGTAGCCTTTGGATATGCTCGTGTCCTGGTGGGAGAGAGACTTGCTCGGGGCATCGAAGAGGTTTTGGAGGTTATCTGAGGTTATGTCTGAGAGGGGGAGCATGGCTACCATGTTTGCTCCATTATTGGTGAAGGGGCCTAATTGTGGGATCGGATCATGGTTGTGAGGTTAGGGGAGCTTTGCTCAAAAATGATAGGGTGCTTACCATCCTGTTTAGTCTTGTATAACTCATACATTTCTTTGTAGAAAGTTGCATTAGTAGTAAGGTTTAACGCTCCGAGTGAGACATTTGTCACTAGATGGATAAAGCGGTTAGTTCTGCTTACCTTACAGCCAGTCGGCAAATGTCTTTGCGAAGCAGAGCTTCCCTTTGTCCGAGATTACCATGGCTAGGTCGGGGGTTACGAGATGATACTTAACAATTGATAAAGTATTCGGATGCCTTAGCGCCAAGATGTCCAGTTTTACACTTAAATGCGCAAATCTTGGTGTCAAAGCATCCGGATACGTTATGAATTATCAAGTACACTATTGCGCCATTGGGGCCTGCGCGGGCAAAGGGAGGTTCCGTCTCACGAAGACTTGCTGGATGGCTGTATATCCTAATATATCGCATGATACTAACTTTGATAGACGATGACATTATAGGCATGGCCCTGTAGGTTAGCACCCACACCCGGGAGATCAACGACGACCTCGATTCCTAACGATTTGAGAAGACCCGCCGGCCCAATTCCGGAAACTTGTAGGATTTGAGGACTGAATATGGAGCCAGCAGCTAGGATCGCCTCTTTTTTAACCTTGACGCACTTCTTTGGGGCTCCTACTGGGCTTGAAAACTGTGGGCGCTGTAAGTCATAGTTTCTTTCCAGTTACGTGCCAGACGGAGGTTTTACCTCTACAGCATCGACTCTGACACTCTTATCTCCAGAGGTCAACAATTTGGTAACAGTGGTATCAAGCAAGACATGGAGGTTCGGTCGGCCTTGTGCACCATCATAATATTCCCGCGAGAAGGAGCGGGTTTGCGTGTCGGGGTCCAGTGAGAAGGGTGACCAGAATAATTGGAGAGCACCTCCATTCGCTGGGTCTTTCGAGACCGAGTGTCCAAGGCTTTTCATAGCGCCGACCCAGTTCTCTGATGCGAAGAAGAGTCAATATCGGCCAACGGAATCCCCTGTGTCATAGTGTTCGTACTTAATTGAGGCCAGAGAAACCTTGGAAAACTCGAGTGTATAAATCCCGTGAATCCATGTGCAGAGCTGTCATAAGTGATCCCAAACTCTTCCACTAGTTTCCCAGATGGGGCTGTGAAGTTTTCAGACTATATGTGCAGGGATATAAAGTCAGCGCTTGATACAAGGACCCCGCTCACGAGTCGACCTGTACCTTTCTGAAATACTTTCCCAAAGACTCGAAGTTCCATCCCTCATTCCCGAGCTCTTCCCAGGCATCATAATCGGAAGCCGATCCTTTCGCGAGCTGCATCCCATTGATGGAAGACGTGCCCCCCAACACCCTCGCACTAGGCATAATGATCGACCTATTCCCCAGCAATTCAGATGGCACAGAGGAGACATTCCAATCATATTTGGTTCCAAAATTCTGGTATCCACGACCCAGATATGGTATCTTGAAACTATCAGATCCATCATCACTTAACAAACCGACAGACAAACATTTGTTAGTTATTACTGCACAAATCAATCACCTTCTCCTGGAAAAGCCAAACCCACATCGGACCAGACTCAATCACTAGAACGGTTTCTGATCGCTGTGAATAAGCCCCCGAAAGACAGCTACGCATTCAGCGAATGTAGGGGGCAAAGTTAACATACTGGAGGAATCCTCTGAGAGCCGATTGGCAACCGCCAGGCCGCTGGTCCCACCTCCGATAATGACATAATCGTACGCAGCCAAGATTCCATTCCCCGATACGAATCGCGGTACAAGAGGTATAGAAGTGGCGATAGCCGGCAAAAGGGCTACCAAAGTAGAGAGCGCACCGAATGTTGAAGCCATGTTCGCTGTATAATTTCCCCAACGGGAGTGGTTGTTCGTCTCCTGTTGCGGTGGAATCGGCAGTAGGGCTGAAGCTGTGTAGACCGCCGTATGGAGGGAAGCTGGGGAATAAAAGGGAAGGATGAGAGGAAGCCATATTCGCTCAATCCCGTCCAAAGCTTCCAACCAAAAGCATGTGAGATCTTGAGAGCTCGACGGCCCAAAGATTCCAGAGTGGGGAGCGGGAGATGCCTCTTCCGAAGGTTTACTCATAATTTAATGAGACCTTTTCTTTTTTTCCTCCCTCCCGTCCTCCCCTCCCGGCTAGATTGTTGACCACATGTAGCTTGCCGGGCTGCCTAGTGCTTTGGGACGGATGGCCATTGGCTTACCGTGCAGGAGTTGAGGGAGTACCGGTTCACGTACCGTACTCGTATTAGCGGTACCATCCGTATTTGTATACCCGTAATTTGGTTGGACCGGAAATTAAGCTGCGTGCACGAGTGTCAGGTAATGAGCATCTGTGAAAACCGTTGTTACACGACAACCCAACCAGCAAAGAAGAAAAAACCCCATCTCATCTTCAGATACCGTACTAGCACAGTGCTCGTACTTTATTCCAGATACTGCTAAGGTTTTGATCAATGGGCGAGCGATATTTGCAAGAAAGTTGGCCCAAGAGTTTGATTCTCCAGAGGTGCTGCTGATACTGTAGATATGTTAGTCACGAGAATCTGATAAGCAACGTTTAGGGAGACCTCCCGTTGAGGATTCGTGAGATGAAACACTGGACTAATACAAGTACCGTACCAGGGGAGATGTTTTCGTACAAGGCAGGGATTATTTTGCGGGTTAACCTAAATTAACTGTGCGAAAAAATCACCCCTGCACTTGTACGAGTATATCTGCGGGCTGTGCATGTATCAGACCCAGTCTTCTGTTTTTTTCCAGGGAAATAATTTCCTGAAGAGGATTTACTCCGGCCCGCCTACTAAGTCGCACTATTGTCGACTCCAGCGGCACCCCAGGTTTACAGTAACGAGGTTACTCGAGTACCGGTATGCGATATGGTACCGTATCGCTCGGGACGTCCGAGACAACAAAATTCGGGACCAGGCCCCCCGAAGTCCGGATCAGTCAGCCGGTATGTAGCTACCGGATATTTCGGCCTCCCAATGTTCAAGCGACTCAGCACCCTAGCAAGAATTTGATGGAGTAATCCCAATATGATAGCAGCTATATGTAGATGTGTTTAGTGGTTGAGGGCTAGGTCAAGAGAGTCAGGGTACGGGAGAAGAGGAGGCTTGGCATGTACTTTATTCCATGGACGGATGAGACATGCAGATTCACGACCTTCCTGTATAGGTTAGCAAATCTTGGTAGTTTGCAGTTTAGTAAGTGAGTGAAAGAACCTCACCTGAATCCTGAGACAGAGGTGGATACAGTTATCCAAGGAGGCAAAATGAGCTCAAGTCATCGCACAGTGCTCGGTTCCCTTCCTATTCAGTCAAATCTCAAGTACATGAAACGTTTATCCTCTACTGAAACTATAAAAAAGCTATCGGTAAGTTTCTTTATAACTACACTATATAGTATATGGTATATAGATAAGTAGCTTAATAGCTGCAAGTTGTTCATAGACTAACAGTAATATGATAAAAGAATAAAAAGGCAAAAAGACTTACCAATGAAGATAATTGGATCTTCAATAGTCTCCCTGAGCCACCTGCCTTTAATATATACTGAAGCCGATTTCCTTCTCACACTACTTACTCAATTTTACTGCTATTGATTCTTTAGAACCTGAAACCATTAAGTATCTTCAGTCTGTTTTTCAGAGAAGATATATTAGCTGCCATTGTACAGAATACAAACTAGTATGCAGAAATAAAGTAAGGTGATGAATATAGGTTTTTATCAAGTGTGGAAGAAAAAGAAGTCA